ATGTTGTAAGTTTGAAAAGGTCTCTTTGTGCATTTTTTAATATAAATTAACTTTTAAATCTACTTCCTAATACGGCTGGTCTCTTCTAGAATTTAGACCAATACCCTCTTAATTAGGGGAGGCCTACAGTATAATGGCATTGCCTAATAGTTTTCGATAATAACTGCTTTTACAGTATCTAATGTCCTCTTACCATATACCACTTCGGAATAACTGATCTATTTTACAGTGGAATACCCTCAAAAATTATTTTTTTCAGTTATCAACAACGTTCTGATTCTGTCACAATTGTTTTGTACATTGCTGATTTCTCTAGTGACTGAATAAATGAATTATACACTGGTATAATGAATTTAATCAAAATCCTTATAGCAGTTTTCGAGAATATCGTAAAAATATATTAAATAAAGTGCCACTTCGGGTAAGCCGATTTTAACAAAAAAGTTGCTGTAACATTCCAGACACATAAAAGCCGTTAATATAAAATTTCGCTTTCGTACTTTCCGTTTTTTGAGCTAGAAACACGCGTACAAAAACACAGACACAAACACATACACACACAAAAACATCCACCATTTTGCGGGACTTGGTTATTTGGACTCAAAACGTGTATTTCTGTTTAAAACTGAGATTCAAAAATTTTCACGATCGCAATACTTTCGTTTACTATATATTTTAAATACAGGTAAGCGAAAGTAATAAATAAGCATTAAATAATAATAATTCCTAAAATTATAAAACGTAAATATAATTATAATATTTTTAAATAATTAGTTTTTCGATTAAGGACATAAGAATAATAAAAGTAAATGTTTAACGGTAACAGTTCTCAAGGAAAAATAATAGTACCACTTCCCATAAGGGAGCGCCCTCCGCCATATTTATAAAATTTAAATGACATGGACATTGAAACGTATATCATTTGTATTAGTTGTCAGTAATGAATTTTCTATTTTGAATTAAATATAGTTCAGATCGAATATGATTTCTGCAATACAAGGTGCTATTCTAAACCAACAACTTACTTTGCCGCAAACTGGTTCTCATGTTGTAGGTTATCGTGTTCTATGTGGTTTTTACTGATTTCGATAACGGTGTTGATGATCTTTTGAATCCCAAGATTGACTAAAATTTTGGCTTAAGGCATTTCGTTAAAGAACAATATCCTTTGTTTCAACTCATAAAATTCAGCCGCATCCACTGGTGCCAACCTCTCTCTCTTCCCCTTCCCCCCCCCCTCTGTTTGAGACTATGGTTTGGATTTTTTTTTTTTTACTTTCACTTAGCAGTTAGTAAACAATAAGGAAAAGTATTGCGATCGTGAAAATCTTTGAATACCAGTTTTCAACGAAAATACATGTTTCAACGTAATCTGATTCCAAATGACTAAGTCTCTCAAAATGATCTGTTGTAAGTGAAAAAATTAAAAGTCGCACGAAACTGAAATTCCTTATTTAAGGTTTGTATCTGGCTCCGATGTGACATCAATGTTTTCGTTAAAATCGGCTGACCGGAAGTGCCATTTTATATTATCGATTTCACAGATTTTTAAGTTTTTCTCAAAAAACGGCTTCAACAAATTTGACTAAACTCGGTGCATATAATGTATAATTAAGTAATCTTTAATATCATGTAGGTTTCATTCCTATTGATGTCTTTTAAATACCCAATGTTCAAAATGTCTTCTTCTAAAGTACCTTTAATTTGGTTTATTTTAAATAATTAACTATCTCTTTTTATTGGTAGTTATGACAAAAAGCTTAATATAACTTTTAAAGGAATTTGATAATTAAATAAAGGAGAATAAGAGAAAAATCCTTATCCAGGTCGAAAATGATTCTTCGGAAAAACAAAATAGTGAGTGTGTGAAAAGCGCAAAATTTTAGAAAAAAACTAATATCTAATAAATTAACTTGTAGAAGGTAACGAGTAAATTTCTTATTACATGTAAAATTATTTTTTTTTTTTAAGTTTGAAAAAGTATTTAAAATCCACCGAATCGAGCCAATGGCATTGTTTAAAATACTATATCATTGTGTGAAAGAAGGACAGAAATATAAAAATATTTCATAGATATGTTTATATCCTTAAATACATTTATATTAGTTTAATAACTCAAGATCTGAGATTATATCTAAATAATTAGGTATCTATCGTCCGTTTGTTCCAAAAAAATCGCCATGTAAACATTTAAAGAATTAAAGTAGTGAAGAATTTAAGTGATAAATGAAAGTTGTATATTGCGAGCACCAGATTTTCTCACTTGATTCTCTAACTTGTTGATTCCTTATTAATCTCTGAAAAGACCATTTTAAGCGTTAAATTACGTTATTAGAGTGCAATCAAAAGGCCTATCTACTATTCTCCATACACATTGTACCATTTCACATTTACTTGTAATATTCTTAGTTAGTATAGCAATAAATTTCCATAAATATATTTTTTAAATTAATACGATCAATAAATTACCCACTCAAAAAAATAACCTAAAAAGCGGTCATTTCAATAATAGTTTGAGGTGAAAATGGAGGTGAAAAAACAGCAACAAAAAACGGAGCAACTGATTAAAATTTTATTTACAATATCCGCCATCTCTAATCTGAGAAGCGGGCAGGGGATTATAGGCGGGGCCTCGAATCATAGGTATTGACCAATAATGAACGTCCTCCTTCCCAACCTTGCCCATTAATTAGATCAAACTAATGGAGGTCTTTATGCCAATGAATGTGTATAAGGAATATATGCATTAATTTTATTTAAATGAATTCAATTTAATTATAAATGTATTAAATTAAAATATTCATTAAAAAATAAATTAATATGCAATTATTGCCAACTACGGTAGAGGGAAAAACATACACGATTTGTTTACGATTTTTTTTTCTATCGATATTAATATATTTATTTATTCCTCTCTTATATTTAAAAAGAAATTCCGGTATCCTATACTGACCTTACTTGGCAGACGTTTTTTATTTAACTTTGCATGCTCAACTGTTTTTCTTATGATAATAACAAATAATCTGTATGAAGACTAAAATACGTAAACTAAAATCGATTATTATATATGTAGGCGCATTACTTGTGAAATTTATTTCTTTACCGTATTCTGAAAATGTTTGAACCAAAATCTTGCTGTTTGTGACCTATATAATATTTAGTTTTGTGAGATTTTGAAAATATTTTCACAAAACGTTGTGTGGCCAACAATAAAACCACAAAAGTTCTTACATAGAGTATTTTAAAGAAATATTAAATTTACGAAACCATCAAGTAATCTATTATATATTGTATAGCTGCATAGGAGAGATCGTGGTCTGTTTTAATTTTTATTTTTCAGATTCATTCAGAAAGAGCAAGAAAAATAAAAAATAAATAGAAATAAAGATAAGTAGATAAAGTATTCCATGCATTAAGAGTAAAACAAATAATTCTAATCTAAGTAATATATCACGATAGAAATAGAACCCTTACATATAAATGTCTATATATTTTTTAAAAGTTAAAATTCATATTATACCTAGCTGATAATAACTCGTAATCAGTTAGGGATGAATGTCAATGCTAATATATCTTTTAAATGTAATCCTTAATTCTTATAGAAAGTTTCAAATAAACTTAATTTTTTAAATATTTTAAAACTAAAATATTAATATTTATCAAAAGAACCAATTAAAAAAAAATAAAATAAAATTTTCTAAGATAACACAACTAGTGTTGCCCAAAATCGATCTTGGTCTTGCACTTTGCAATAGTTACTATACTTGACAATCTGAGTTACACTATGTTAATAATTGGTATAAACAATATACTTTTGTATTTATCTCCTCTATTTTTTTAATTTTGGCTTAGTTAGATTTATCTTGTCTAAAAATTACAGTAATATCTCTAGAGTAATAAACTAATAAGTAACTGCAAGACTTTTCCGAGATTCTTGTGCAAGATCAAGACCATGACTAAGACTGAATTTGCAAGACCAAGACTCGTCTCGGTCTCGCATTTGGGCAACACTAAACACAACATTTAGATTTAATCAATAATTTTAATTTAAAGAACAGAAATCTTTCTATGTAAATCTCATTTAAAGAGAATGGGTAAAAATAAATAGGTAATTCAATTTTTAGCATACAAAATTTATTTTTAATAGAGATATAATAAAATACAGTTAGCATAATATTTCAAGTATTTAAATAGAATATATATTAACAATTAGTCATATTAACAAAGTTTTCAAAATTTCGACTAACAAATTAAAAATTATATAATTATAAAAACTGTAACTATAAAATACAATATACATCAGTTTGTACATATTTACATAGCAAAAATATATAAATATTTTAAAAGTCATATTAACAAACTTTACGAAATTTTTACCAACAAACTAAAATGTTTGTAATAAAATACAATTTAAATCAATTTGTATATATTTACGTAGCATTACTACATATAAATGTTTACAGTCTTTTTAGCAAAATAATAATATTTCATTAACGTTAGTCTCGATCCATGGTATGAAATGATTTTGCAGATTTCTTTCAGGATGTGAGCCCTCAACTTCTGAGGAAGAGCTTTCAGGTAAGACTCGATGGCATCTCCGAAATTTCCTCGAACTTTTTTCCCATTCATTCTCAAATCTTTGGTTGCCTAAACATATTGTATATATTAAAGATAACATATAATAATATATTAAAAATCACACTTTCTCCCATACTTGTGACTGTCCCTGCCAATGTCTCAATCGAGGAGATTCGAGCAATCAAAGCGGTCAATAGATTTTTCGAGTTGAGAAATATATAACTCGGCGAAGCGACCTCATCCAACGTTTCCACTGCCAAAAATTCAGACACACGAGAAACTATTGCGGACACGTAGAACTATGTGTCACATGTTCTGGACCTCATAATATTTCAGCATGTCCCCGACAGGGTCAACCAAGGTGCCCGAATTGCTCACAGGAACACGTTGCCTCGTTTCGCCATTGTTCTTATCGACTTCAGTACAATGAACACCTGCAGAAGAAAAAAAAAGAATTGGCCTTACGAAAGAAAACAGCACCCAAATCTACCGATGTGACATCAAATCCAACTCAGAATCCAAAAACCGGAAAAACTTATGCGACGACTTTAGTACCCCAACTGACCCATCAACGCTCCAACAAGTACGAGAACCTCCTCCAGAAGCTGAACCACCACCATGGCATACACAGTTCCAAAAATCTATGAATGGACTAGTACAGCAGCTTATCACCTTAATAAGTTCAGTAGTGAACCTCGTTACCCAAAAATGAGAGTATACTCCATTCTTAACTTTAATTGTAACGGCCTGTCAGTCAAGATAGAAGAAGTGGAAGCACTGTTAGCCATCACTGAGCCCTCTATTGCAATCATCACAGATACTCGGACACTGGATCATCGGCCTTGCTTCCAGGACTACTATAGTCACTGGTGAATCTTGTGATCCTCCCCGTGCCGTTACGGGGATGTTGTGATGATACGTCACGGCATAACTTGGAAGAAGATACCTACACCAGTGTGTATAGTAGACAACAGAATTATTCATATCACTATACAAGTATCGATGCAACAGCCTACCTACATCACTGGTATCTATCGTCGACCTCGTGGGTCTCTACGAGAACTACGACAACTGCTTAATTAATTAATGAGTGTATCAGAAAGTTCAGTATTTGCAATTTAGCCACTCGATTAAAATTTGGTGGTTAGACATTTTAAAGAAATAACGAATACTGCGAACCACAATAGCGGACCAAATACTGAAATATCATTGCAAAGAAATAACTTCTTTCGAGTTATGCCGGATTACATGGATAATTTCACCAGGCTTGTATCTTAACCCGCCAACGTTCGTCAATCATTTCGAACAATTATGCTGGGGGTGGACCTTTGAGCTGATAATACATTTTAGTGACTTCTGAGTGCATATTAAAGAAGTTTTCTCACAAATTAGTTGGCTGAGAAACAATTTCATTTTGAAGGAGGAAGTGGAATAATTGTAACGATCTTATCTATTTGGAAAATAAAATAGTTACGCTAGTCCAAACAAAAATTCCAAATTACTATTCTTTGTTTTTTCTACATATAAAAAAAAGTTGACGTTTCTTATGTTCAATTTTATTATGCAAAATATATTATTAAATTTCACATAAAAATATTTTTAAATTGTAAATTTAAAAAGAAAAACGTTTTTAATGTAATAAACGATTTTATTTTCACGATATAAATTTTAAAATACAATTTAAGTTTTGTAATTGATATTTTTTTTAACTTGTTTTTCTTCCAATTTTTCTAAAACGGACATCTCTCTATAGCGTGCAATTTTTTATTCTCTGTGAGTGTCCGCTTCTTTTGAGAAGTTTCATTGTAGTAACTAAAATGGGCTAGTATTAATAACCATTTAGTCTTAATTTTTATTCATGTTTTGTTTTCTTATCTTGCTCCGGTCCTGGCAAATGATTAATTATTTGGGGCGATGTTCAAGCACCGTACTATATCTGAAAATAGTTTCAGTATGACTTAACTGCAAGACCTGCAAGACTAGCAGGGTTTGGTCTTGGTCTTGCGCAAGACTACGGGGTCTGGTCTTGCAAAAATTTTTGTGGTCTTGGTCTTGGTCTTGCAAAACTGCAAGACCAAGAGCAAGACTGCAAGACCAAGGCCAATTTTGGGCAACACTACAAATAGACACATTAATTTATAAAACACATAACAATATACTTAAAGTTATATACTTTTGTGTTTTATGGCCAATATTACTGACGCTCGTTCAAAAATAAACTTATAAAAATGTAAATCTATTTACAATATTAAATGACTCTTAGATTACTGACGCAGGTCGAAGCATCTGTAATCCGTTTTAATATTTTTTAAGGATTCTATTCTTAATAAACAAATAAATGTTAGACCTGCGGTCGGCTGCGATAAAAAGTTCTGGAAAAACAAACTGTTTTTTTATATCTATAATATGGTATTTCAGAGCGGTTTATGTATCGTTTTTGAAGATTTGTTTATATTCCTCATAATACATTAATAACCTGTAGAAATTTATTATTCATAAATTCATAAATTTAGTAGAATCTATTCCATTCGATTTGTATTGCTCTGTATAAGTAATAGCCCTACTATCCATAGTAACGCTTAAATGTATTTTCACACATTTTACAGCCGAAGAATGTTTCTTTCATCGATCAAAAATTTAACCTTTTAAGGGAAAAGAGCTGTTACTAGTTGTTAATGTTGATTAACATTAATGAATATCTTTAAGCAAATTAATACTTATTTTGTTAACAGATACAATATTTTTAATAATAATCTGAACACATTATTTAATTTCATATGAAATCGAGTTAACATTTGATATCGATTGATGAAAAAGTATAATAAAATACTATAAATTTGTTTTGTTTGATTTTTTTATTAATTGAATGTCTGATAACTAAATTTTTTTTTTACTTTACAAGAGCTCTAATAAAGAAAATACTTTAATATTTCGATTGTTCTAGATGTTGAGGAAATTACACCTTCGCTGATAATAAGATAAGTTACAAATAAGCTGCAAATCAGAAATTGACACTTTGAGATACTCGTCACTTTAGGAGTTTGATAAAGGTAATTATTGAATAATATTAGATATTTTTCTCTTAGAAAATGACAATGTCTTTTTTAAATATTAAATATAGTCTTATAATATATCATAAAGCATTTTTAATGGTTTTGAAGTATGAAGTTAATTCATTCAATATTTAATTCATCAATAAGAAAATGACACACCACATTGGCACCCAACGGCTCCGTCATCGATATCCAAGAAGTTAGAGCTGTTTAGCAAATTGCTTTCGTTTATATAAACAATTATAATTAGGAAAACTTATATCTTTTTAATTCTGGGATGAATATTGTTATTAAGCTAAGAAGAATTTTATCAATATGTTATTTACAAATAGCCTGGGAAGGCCAGGTAGCTCAAGTTATAAAAGCATGTTTAAATGTAAATATCTTTTGAAGGGTTCTTGCCCTGAAAACTTTCCTGGGTAATAAACATTTTCTCTTTTCTAATCCCGGGGTCAGTCACACTTTTATTGCAGGCCGCTCGATTGGCGCCAGTTACCTGTAACTTGATGGGTTTCCAAATATTTCTCCAAGGCTATATACCTGCCTGGTTGTAAACTAGGTTAATGGGTACAATTTGAATATTGTGGCTCTGCAAGAGGTTCGCTGGCTTGAAGAGGGCTCGATAAGGGAAGGAAAGTTTAATATTTGGTACGGTGGAAGCGGAAATCATTGAAGGGAAATCATAGTTAAACTACCGCGAAACTCCATGAAAATAATTGCAGGTGACGCGAACGCAAAGGTGGAAAGGGAAGAAGTTTATTTTAAGACCATCAGTAAAGGAAGTTTGCACCAATATATTAATGATAATGGGATTCTTCTGATAAACTTTGCCATCTTATAATTAAATGTACTACCTTTAAACTTAAGGATATTTATAAATAGAGACCGGATTTTCATGTTAATGCACATTTTGTTGGCTTAGTTGTAAATACTTCAAACCTGACAATTTATCCGTTTCACGATCTACAAAGTAACATATTTAAATTTCATGTTTTTTGTTGCATGATATTGCACATACAATGTAATACTATAATTGCACACATAATGTACCGAAAACGTTATTATATCATTATAACTAAGCCGTCTATGTGTACAGAATGGTGTAGTACAGGCTTGTAGGCACCTACGCCCCTCTCCCGCATAACGGACATCCACATAATTTTCTACGGAACTGCTCCAAATATTTTAAAACGCAAACAGCGTTTTAGAAAGAAGAATATATTTTCCAGATGTTTTATTTGAGCACATTTTGCGTTATTGTTGGCAGTTTAATTACAAACGACGCTTGATTTTTAACTTGAAAATTGTTTTGTTAAAATTTTTGACTTTACTTGTATTTTTTATTGCCTAAGCCAATTATTTTTTAATATTTGTTCATGTTTTATTATTTTCTGACTATTCAGCTTTAATAAAAGACCATCCATGAGGAAATTAAGCCAAGTGCTGATTCTCAGTGACCAAAAAACTAACTAAAGTCAAAGTCGTCAAAGTACGTTCACTTTATGTGGGAACATTGGCTTTTTTTTAATAAATAGTTACAAGGAAGACAACAATATGCAATTTATATGGATGTGGGAGGGAGGGTGCACGATAGGGAGGTCTGGCCCATTGACTAAGATGTTCGTCTTTGAGATGAGGGCACTCTTATGTTCTTATTCCAAGCCAATCTACCTTTTTAAGTTCTTAACTGAATCAATCGAAATTGTTGTCCATATCTTTTTAATAATTATGTGTTAACCATTTTTTTTTAAAAAGATGTGTGCAAACTTTTTTTATTTATATTCTCCAAAGTCCTTAGGAAAATAAATAATTTGTTATATAACTGTTTAAAATAATAAATCATTGTGTAATAATTTATCAGCGTTTTTTTTTTTCATACAAATAATTGTAATCAGCTAAATTATTCATTATTATTTTACTACACATTGATTTATGGTTGCTTTTCATCAATTTAATTTCATTAATAATATTTTCAATTTGTTAATTGTAATTTACCTTTTATTAAAAAAGAGTCGATGTTATTTGTGCAAATTGAAATATGATGGTAACAAAAGTGCTACACAATTTGAACTTTGTAAAACATATCAAAACCGTATTTTATCAAATTATTTTGTTTTATATTAAACAATTAATCTTCACGATGATAAGTAATAATGAACTATGTAAATAGTTGATATTGTAAGGTAGCAGAAATTGTCATATTCATTTTCCATTGTTTAAAAATAAATATTTACTTCACTTTTTCTAAAATTATTTGTAATCTCAAAACTAAATCAGAACGAATATGTCCCTTCATTGTCGCCCAGAATCGTTTCAGATAATCATATATTTCATATTTTGAAGTCAAATTTGATGTTACAGTTACTATAATGAATTGAGCGATACTAGGCTCATTATCATAAAAGATCATACATCATTATGTTGTTTTTTTTACCTATATTACTTATATGCTATGGTAGAGAAAAGGAATGAAAAAATTAAAAAGAAACAGTAGGTTGTATATGTTTTCTTTATTCATAATTTTTTTTGTTTATTCAGAAATGTTACAATCTGTCACAATTAAAGACATTTATAGTGTTCAGAGAGCACATTCA